AAGATAATAAGTATAAGTGTATACATAGTTGTGAATACATGAAATGGTTACATATAAGAAAAATAAAAGAATAAGAGAAACAATAGGACAGGGACGGTAGGCACGATGGTGCGCTTATGCACGCCCCCTACAGACCTCTTAGGAAAGGGGTGAGGTCAATAGTAGACAGTCTAAGGTTAAAGTTTTTGGGGTTTGGGGAAGAGACTATAGAGTCGGGTAGAGTATTCCAGACATTGACCACTCTATTGCTGAAGTCGTATTTCCTGCAATCAAGTTTGGTGCGGTTTACTTTGAGTTTGTATCTATTGTGTGCTCTTGTGTTGTTATGGTTGAAGCTGAAGTATTCATTGACAGGTAGGACATTGCAATGTATGATTTTATATACCATGCTTAAGTCCGACTGAAGACGGCGTAATTTTCCTAGTTGTCTTTAATAATTTATTCCTGCCTTCCTTTATAGCAGCAAAGGAGAGAGAAGGAGCTAAGAAAACAACAAGAGAGAGAGCAACGGCGGCATTATGAAGAACAATTGCGGCGAGAAGAAGAAAGGAGACGGGCTGAACACGAGCAGGTGACGAGCTTCAGATCCAAATGATTGTAATTTTTTTTATAGTGCTTTCTAAGTCCCAAACTCAGACTTACCAGTCAAAAAGGAAATTCAGTATGACCCAACTTCTTCATATTGTATAGAGATGTTGGCATTGTCCTGAGAGTCCCAATTTAATAGCAATAGCACTTAAACTTATATACCGCTCCTTAGCGCTTTACAGCCCTCTCTAAGCGGTTTATAGAGTCAACATATTGTCCCCAACAATCTGAGTCCTCATTTTACTGACCTCAGAAGGACGGAAGGCTGAGTCAACCTTGAGCCGTGAGACTCGAGCTGCCAAACTGCTGGCAGCCGGCAGTCAGCAGAAGTTTCCTGCAGTTCTGCATTCTAACCACTGCGCCACCATGATGGCTCATTAATTTCTATTATTGACACGATCTTCTGTTTTAAAGTATCAGAAAGATATAATGCTGGTCAAGTGAACCCACATGAATTCTGGATTCATGAGGAATTCATGAGGAAGCTGAGTAAAAGGGGGAACTCTTTTTTTCCCCTTTTTGCATTCCTTCCTTTGGAATGCTCCCCTAACCGCTGGGATAATTAGCAAGAAAAGAATTAATGTTTGCATTTACATTCATTTGAGACAGAGAGATTACAACAGAGTAAACAGGCACACAAAGGGGAATATGTTTCACAGCCATAGTACTGTATATTTATGCATAATGTACATTCAGCATTAAGTGAAGCAAGACTCTATTACTTTCTCAGCAACAGTTTTTGCAGCTTGTATGATTTTTACACTTGGCCAATGAAGAATTTTGTGTATTGCCCTGTATTTCTATTTTCTCCTTTTGCTTCCACCTTCCTGTATCAAGCAGCAATCTTTAATGGTTATGTGATTTTTTTTTTCTCCTACTCTTACAATCAGCTTTTTTGCCTTTGGAATTATGGTTCTCCCTTTTCTCTCCTTTTTCTGCTTCCTGCTTCCCACCGTCTCCAGGAATACATCAGGCGACAGTTAGAGGAAGAACAGAGGCAGTTAGAGATCCTGCAGCAGCAGTTACTGCAGGAACAAGCTCTTCTTCTGGTAATGGGGAGGCAGGATCCATCTTACGTCCTTTCTCCCATCCTTTCTGTCTGTAGCAAAACAGCATGCTATCAGCCTTTATAGGGTTGCCACCCTTTCTTCCCATTTTTTATACTTGAAAGTATTAAAATGTTGGTCAATTTGGCATTTATTAATATTTCTAGAATCTGCAAATAATGGGGGTGGAAGGCATGCCACCAAGGTTGGGACTAACTTATGCAGTTTGCTTTGCTTTTAATCAGGACACAGATTCAGTTGCAAATCGTTTACAATTTATTTTGAATAGGAAAGAGAAAGCAGGAGCTTATAAGACAGCAGCTGGCCAGCTTTTGGCTACTGAGTTACCTGGGATCACGGTCCAAGCATTCATAAAAAGAACTGCTAAACTTGTGCACAGGCTATTGGAAAAGTTCCCAAATCTTGCAAGATTAGTGCAGTATAGTTGTGGTTTTAATGTGAAATTTGGACAGATTATTTCTTGGGGGGATCCAATGAGCATACTAGTGCTTTGTGTGTTGCATTGCCAACCTCTGTTTTAAGCCTTAAGTAACGTTTTATTGAAAGCTTGATTACATCTTCCGATAATGTTTTCTTTTTCCAAATTTAGCTCCTCGTGGACTAAATTTCTACCAAGAACAAAACATGGACATCCTAGGCCAGAATTTCAGTCTAGTTTTTTTATTTGTTTGTTTGTTTGTTTATTTTACTGTTACACCTTCTTCATCCAAGATGTGCTTCAAACTTATGGAGAAAGAGAGTTTCGGGCATAGCCTATAGCTGAAGATAGCTATAGTCATCCTGGAGCATAAATGCCAATTGAATTTAACTCTTAAATAACAAAAGTTTATAAGTCCAATTAATTGGCTAGAAAGAGAAAAATTTCTGAGAAAAAAGCACAATCTGAAATCTTGATTTTGGGAGACCCTTCCAATGCCAATAAGCAGTATTGCTTTCTATTTGTGGCCTAAAAGTAATAGTTAATGGGGACTACCAAAGAAAGGAGAAGGAAATAAAGATCAGAAAACAACAAGAATGGAAAAAGGTGCTAGTAAACAAAGGAATTTTTTTGAGGGGGGACATCTGAAGTGGCAATCCTAAAAGGCTAAGGTAATATAAAAAGCCATACTGGGAGAAGTTGGGCTACTAAGGCTCAACTTTATCTCCAGAGTAGAAGATAGCATGCTGTATTAGTTTCTTTTTGAATGCAATCCTACCAAGAACTCTGAATGTTTCTATTTCCTTTTTATTAATAATTGGGGATGCCGTTGGAGGGAGAGTTCCTGGCTTGCACATCTGTACATCTCTGTTCTCCACTCATTATGAGAATTAAGTGAAACCTCCTAGAAATATGTCCCATAATACAGTATCCACACACTTTCTAACTTCTCTACTTTGTGCAATCTGGTAGCATGTTTCTTTATAGGCTGCTTTCTTCACATTCATGATAGAAGAGTGTGTGTTGGAGGATTATGTACCACTGCATTTTAAAATTAAATAGACAAATTCACAAACTTTCCCTTTTACTATCATTGTCCCTTCTCCTACATCAAAGTTGCATCTTGCCGGTATTTGAGATATGTAATTTAGGGATTTTTAAAACCATTCTATTAATTAGTGATATTTATATTTTATTCCCTTGTTAACAATAGAACAAGCAAACAAACTTATGTATAAAGATTTCTTTTACTGCCAGCCATTTTGATAATTCTGCACTAGCAGTCAATTAAAATAAAATGCAATTTATTAGATTTAACAATAAATGCCTTTCAGATTTAATATTTTTTGTGTCATTGATAGCATCAGTTTGAAGGTATTATGATTAAACTTCCCTGATAGCTACTAGTACTGTATATCCATATTTTAAATAAGCATAATTTTAATAACCCTTTAGACACAATCTTAATTTATCTCATCTCGTTTAAACTGACACACAGAAATACTACACATTAAGCTTTGTGGAAGTTTCCATACACACACCCTTGTAAAGTCACTTCATATGTAAAGCCTAAAATGAGATTGAATAGAAACTGAATCCCATTCAAATAGATCAAATAAATACCTGTGTGTGATGGAAGTTAAGATTTAGTAATGAAACTGATTAGGAATGGGCAATGAGTAAATAGTGTGTATATGCAGAATAAATGGAGTTGAGAGCTTAAATTGCTTGTTGGTAAGGGCCTGGCCAAAAGTTCACCTTAGTCAAACACAACGAATATTGAAATCCATACAAATCACAACCATTGCATGTTAATGTAATGTTTTCATCCAGTAAACATCTACCTTTTAGACATGGCTGTTCCCTCACAGTAGCATTCTGACGATGGGAGGCTATCCCACAATTTCATACTCTTCTCCGGCTTTGTTAATTTTTGTGTGGTGCACATGTCTTGGTAGGAATACAAGCGCAAGCAGTTGGAGGAACAACGGCAAGCCGAGAGGCTACAGCGACAGCTGCAACAAGAACGGGACTATCTAGTTTCTTTACAGCAGCAACAAAGACAAGAACAGAGACCAACCGAGAAGAAGCCTCTCTATCATTACAAGGAAGGGATGAACGCCACTGAGAAGCCAGCTTGGGCAAAGGAGGTAGGCCCGATCACATTTTATCTTGGAGTTGGTATACAAACCAGTTTTGTAAAAATTGAATGTGTACACATTTTCAGCCTCCTGCCCATGCCCAGAATTCTTTGGGATTATCTGGCACCAATCCTTCATTATATTGGGTCATTTGGCCCAATAACTTCATCTGCCCTCTGATGCCATCAGGTCCTTGTATCCAACCCAATAGAGGTTGATGAAGAATTGATGGAGGTTCTCTTCCAATTCTGAAATTCCATGGTTGTATCACACATTCAGATCTGGGTGGTATGTTATAACTGGGTAAAGTTACCTGTGTGTCTAATCCTGGGAAGAAAATGTTTCAGCAACAGAATAGAATTGCAGCATTGATGGTCAGGATTTTAAAAACTTGAGTGTTTTCAGTGGTTTTATTTTTCAAAAGAAGAGATCTCTTCTGTCTTAGGTATTTTTCAAGCAACTTGAAAAACAAAATTAACTGGTATGTGATACTTAATAGAAATATTCTTTTTTTAAAAAAAAGTCAGTGATACATATGTTTTATAAAGTATTATAGGGTGGAAAATGCTAGTATGGCCAAAGCATCCATTTAGAAGGACTCCATGCATGGTACCAGCTGATAAATCGTTGTGCCTAACATTGATGATTATTGCTAGTGCAGCCTTTCGTTAGGTCAGGAAAAATTCCTGCTGCAGAGCATTTTTAATATCTTGGTTAATCACATATACACATGTGGCTTATATGTAGAGAGATTATATTTTAAAAAGCTCTCTTGCAGTTTACACACTTTTTAAAGTTGGGTATCAGAAGTAATGCACAACTGAATTCACTTTCCACAGTGTCTAACATGGGAGCAGATAAGTACTTTTCCCAACTCATATAATGGGTAATTGAGGATGGGTGTGCAAATGCATGTAAATGAAATTAGAATATAGTTGTTTGCATATTACCACTGTTTAGAATTTTGCACTGTTTTTATCCTAGCTGTTTCCTCCTGTTGTATTGCAGATAAGTTGTTTTGCAAACCACGTGGAAATGTGCTTCTTTCCCACCCCCACCCCCCTTGAATGGTTTTCAATCTTATACATTCAGGAAACACTTTCCACATCAAATCGTGTGCCTAAGTGTTTTGCATACATGGTGCAAACCTCAGCACCTTGCAGAAGTAATATATGAGGATATTGACGTGAAAGCCTCGGTTAAGTGTTAGTCAATCTCGTAATTGCCATGTTGCAGAGTGGTGTGAGGGTATATTCAGAATATCTTAAATCCTTCCATGAAAGTACACATTTTTACAAAAGGCAAATTATAAGCAAGCAAATTTTCAGAGAAAGGTTAAGGATCTCCCATACAATTTGAAAGCTATTGCCTGTTCCATATTAAATAGTTGTCCAATGTATTGCTTCATGCAGCAAGTGTTGGCTGTTGTACCAACATTTTTTTAAAAAATCCTTCCCCATTTGGACATTTAACTGCCCATTGCACTTCTGGACTGAATCGCCTCTTTGATGCATGTAATTTTCTTGGTGACTGCATCTCTGTCACCTTGTTAGCAAAAGGCAAGGGAGTGGGAGTTGTCCAAAACAATAGATTTGTAAAAAAAAAATCCAGCTCATGTTTTTAAAAAGCCCGATTCCCTCTGTGAGGTCACAGAAAGAACCTGCTTCCATCTCTGCTGCAATTATGATAGCGGTGCCAGCTACTGAATAAGAAGCGGTTATGTTCACATAATACACTTGCCCTGAAAGAAAGGATTGCGCATTGAAAAGCAGATAGTAGATGCCACCAGGGCACAGTAATTGTGACCACTTTGAAAAACTGCCGGTCTCTTAATAACTATCCTGTTTTGCTGAGTGACTATTACGGGGCATTTCATTATAGCATAGAGGTTAAGATGTAAGACCTGCATGAGAAGACCCGGCTGCAGGTCCCCACTTGAATATGGATATTGCTGGGCGTCATTAAGTGAGCCATTTTCTCTCAGCACAGCTTACTAAACAGGCATCTAATGAAGGAAAGTCTTCATGTGTGTCATCTTAAGCTCTCAAAGGGAAAGCCGGAAGATAAATGCAGTGTACAGAGTTCCCTGAGATCACAGCTTTAATTGGCCTCATCTCCCCAACTCACATTTGTGGTTTTGGGAAGTCACTGCAAAAAGCTCTAGAGAATTTCCAAAAATCCATTCCTGTATTGCATTTTTTCATGGACTGAAGCAAAATCAGAGTGATTTTCAAGGTCATCTTGATCACTCTCCAGGTTATTTATTTATTTATTTATTTATTTATTTATTTATTTATGTTTATTTATTTTTACTTTATTTGTTTGCCAAACATGTACAAGATAACAAGTATAGGTATGAACATAAACAAGAACAAAGGAACTAAATACAGATAAATGGCGACAGTAAGACAGGGACGGTTGGCATGCTGGTGCGCTTATGCACGCCCCCTTTAAGGACCTCTTAAGAATGGGGAGAGGTCCATGGTAGACAGTTTGAGGTTGAAGCTGTGAGGGGTTGAGGTGTAACAACAGAGTCTGGTAGGGTGTTCCAGGCATTGATCACTCTGTTTAGTGGTAAAAGAATGAAAAGAGAAATTATTACTGTAAAATCAAAAGCTTTTCTCATCCTTATTGGAAACATTCCGTTCTGTGTAATAGAGGTTCATTTGTTCAATGAAATCGACTCAGTCAGATGAAGCAATTGCTATAGTAATCAAGTTCACGTTTTGCATGAGAATTTGGGAAATATTTTAAACAGGCAAGAATGGACACACTCTGCTAAAATAATTTTTAAAAAGCTTGTGCAATATTTTAGTCAATCTTGCATCCTTAGGTAATTTTATATGAATGAGAAAACAGATAAAAGTAACAAACTACAGATATAATTTAAAACATTGGGCATAAGTAAAACACTTAAGTAAAATCACATAAAATAAATTGCTAGATATTGCATAAAACTTTTACAACTCATACATGTTGATTTATTAATCTAGGTTTTGTTTCTGTAGCCATGGTTAAATATTTGGCTGTCACTATTGTAATATTAGGATTTTTATCTGAGAGAAGAATTTTAACTTGTACATAAATATTTCTGGTCTTGATTTTAAAATAGGCTAGATAATATCTGCCAAAAATGCTTGTAAAATTCACAGATCAATCAAATACGATCCACAGTTTCAAGATAAATATCATTATCAGGACACCTTTGAGAGATGGGAATCTTTGGAAATGTATAGTGTAACATGCGATGGCAATGCTTTTAATCAGGCTTTTGAAAAGATTATTTTATATGTACTTAAATGTAAACTGCTAAAATTTATTGGCAGTCAAAAAGCATAATTATAATGTTCAGGGTAAATAATGAAATATTATAATAGAGGTAACTTTTATAACAATCTGGGAAATTATTTCTAAATAGGATGCACATATACAATCACATTTAAGAAAACACAGGCATCCTGGGATTATACTATATTATCTGTTAAACATTTCAAAGACCCTGCTCATTTTTTAAAAGTACAAAGATAACTTCAAATATCTACATATCTTCCAGTCCAAATTTGAAGTAATATGAATGGCTTCCCAACTCTCTGAATATTGCATTAGAATTACGTAGGTTTCCAACCTTTGACTGTGCAAAATTACTTGTCACAGGATATGGATTGCTGAGTTAAAATAATACCTCTTATTTAAGCACAGTTTCTGTTATGTCTTGGATAGCTTCCTGGGCACAAAGTGGAATTAGTTTGTCACTGTCTTGTTCCATGTTGCTTTTTTCTAAATTTATAGTAGTTTATAGCTCATCTAAATAATAATCTGCTTACGTTCCAAATGCAAACAAACTCAGATGTGTGCTTCTATCTGGTAAGAGAATGTTGATTCAGATGATTTTATAAGCAGGCCAATTCATCTTCATTAAAAGTCTATGGAATTCCACATTCAGAGGGCCCCAATGAATATCAGTCACTATAAGGAAAGCCATTTATTTAATGTTCTCTCTTTGACTCCCAAGAAGTTCACCAACTTGTAGAAATAGGCCATTAGATTGGTCCGCTATAGAAAGCTATAG